CATGCTAATCCTTTGAATAATTGAACAGCATACGAACTTGATGTCTTGCAAGGCATCAAAGGATTGAGGGGCAACATTCATGTACAGAAGACCTGAACAAAGAATTAAGTAGGAAGGGAATTGCCTTTGGTGAACTTGGAGGTCATTAGGGAGGAGGTGAGAGAACTGTATGGGCCAGGCTTAAGGCCCCTACCAGTGCTAGCGTTTTACAACCCATATCCAGAGTACATTGATTAAGAAAATCCTTTCTAAGAGGGTTCCATGTCTCGTAGTTCAAGCTGTTTTCTAGAGAGGACAATGCGTCTACACTGGAACACATAGTAAGATTAATGTTCCAGTGTAGGGAACTCAGCCATTCGGGCAATGTGAAGTTAAGGTTATTTCCTAGCTCACTTATAGGATCGACATTCTCATGGTATGCTAGACTTTCTAAAATCTCGATATATGATTGGATGAAAATGCAAGGGAAATTTCATGAGCAATTCCACATGATAGAACTAGAAGTTTATATATCAAAACTTTACAGAACTATTATATACCTTGGAGAAAGTTCAGAGAGATTTTTGAACAAATTCAAGAAACTTTATAGTTATTGTAAGTTATAGTTACCTGAAACTAAGTATTTCAAAATGTTGCAGTAAGGTTTGGAGTTTGAGCTCTGGAAGAAATTCCAAAGCATGGAGTTTTGAGCTCTATTTTAGCTCACCACCAAGGTGACAGAGTATGAAGAGCTCCTTATCAAAGAGAACCAAAGAGAGGGCGTGATAATAGGCACATACTTTATGGAAGCACTAGACATGTAGCAATGGTAGACTTCATAAGGGATGGTAAAATGCAATCACATGTCCCCTCTTGGCTCCCATGGCCAAGGGGAATAATGTAACATCTTATATTTAAAATTTTTGGATCAAATGAACTACTTGAGATTAATTAGATAAAATTGAGTATAAGTTAGTGTGAGATAGTTAAAAATGGCTAATAGGCCTATTTCATTTAATTACAACCTTTGGATCAAGTTTGCAAATGTTTTAGGCCGCTTGGACCTAAAATGAGGAAATTTAGGCTTGCCATCTATTGTAGCGGATAATAAAAAAATTTTAAATGACAAGTTTACATTCACAAGTTGCAAATAGTGAAAGACAAAGAAAGATTGAGAGAGTGATGGAGGGATCGATTTGTCAACTAGGGTTTCAACTATAAGACATCTTAGAGGCATTTTGACCTTGTTTTCACCTAAGCATGCCTCTCATACTCTTCTCTCTTCCTTCTGCATGTCTTGAAAGAAAGATTTAAGATTTTAAGATGCTGATTTTAGGATTTAAGGTTATGGATTAGAATTTTTTGATTTAAATAGGACTAATGTAAGTTGTTTAAATATTCTATATCTAGTTTAGGAGTTTTTATAAGGTTATAAAATTAGGTCATCTATTTTCCAAAAAGCGAACCAACATACATACATACATACATACATACATATATATATTGGGAAGCAAACTTTTTGATATACGTACCTTATAAATAGTGTTATAATTTCAAATATTGCATGTTCGAGGGCAAAGGAAGGAGCACTCGCGCCAATGCTGCCTGAATTAGTTTCATTTATTTGTCTATTTTTTTTCCCCCTAATGATGACATGTGGAGTTAGGCGAAATCTCCCCTCAGCGTTAAAAAACTTATATGATATAAGATTTTGATATTTTAGCCATGAGTGAGTTTCAAAATTGTAAACCCATCAACCTGGATCAATTCATTATACTCACATCTTTGTTTTCTAATATTAATTTGCATGTTCCAATTTAATTCTACCATACGTCCATACTCCTTACATTTGTTATTTTAATTATTTATTTTATTTACATTTCACCATTTATCCAATTTTTCCAAGCCCAACGCTTAATTTATTTCCATTCTCTTGGCAAGTTGATAGAGAAAATGAAATATTTTGGTCATCTGGATAGATTTATAAAATTAAATCAATCGTCCGCATGACATCAGCAAAAATAAAGACAAGCATCTTGGCTGAAGTTGTTTGATTGTTCTTTAATAAAAAAAAAAAAAAAAAAAAGAAACTAAAAAAAGAGAAGTTTAAGGAAGCCCATTTAGAAAGAAGGCATCTAGCAAATAGCTGTCTCTTAGGGAAGAAAGAAATAGAAATCACTCGAGAAAATAGAGCCTTATGAATGAATCAGCGGCTCTCTTAGAATGCGACCCTAGTGGAGATATTAATAAAACTCAAGTATCAACCAACCACTTCTCCAATAGTATAATAGAATCACAAGTCCATTTCACACATGAAGAAGAAGAAGTGTGAGGGATTGGTGTTCAATTGAGATTCCACTCTAACATGTGTCTGACATCACATCTTCATTGGGCAAACATTACAAATATCATAACCTCCATTCTACACCAACCACCCATTTTTTTAAAAAAAATCTCATATTTAATTTAATTTAATGCCTATTGACAGCAAACCCAATAAATAATAAAGGTCGCTAAAGGGTGCCTCGACTTTTAGGAAACCATATCTTAACTGCTACTCTTTTAATGCCTTCTCGTGCTGCATTCACTTTATCATAACACTCGTGGGTGCTCTTACTATTCCGAAGACTTTTACATACATTTGTTTAATATTCTAAAACATTTTGACACAAATATATGAAATGTGTGTTCTTCAAGCTGAATTGCGAAATTGAGCTTCATATCCATTTCACATATTTACAGCAAACAATGATGACTATGTAACCTATATGGAAAAATTGAGTAAATTATTTTGACATATCTTAAATGTTATTGAAATTATACATATTTTTCTATTTTATTTTCAAAAGGGGCGCATGTTAATTGCATAAACAGATACCTTAAATTTTTACTATATTTTTCCCCAAATAAGCCTGCTCAATTCCAATAAAATTTAAAGGAAATTTGGGTAACTTACCCTTCATTTTATAAAGATCTATCTGACACTTTAAAATAGGAGGAATATCTTGTTATATATATATATATATATATATAATTTATTAAATATCGTGGGTTGGTGAAGAATCAGAAGAAGATAGTGGAAAGAGTAGAGGTTGACATGTGGCATTGGATGATGTAAGAAGGCATGAATAATCAACATTGATTATAACGGGCATTAACCTTTACTTATGACTGAGACTGACTATTCACTCTCTCTCATGTTTCATGTGTCTCCTGTACAGTAACACTAATGCTAATTCTTCCTCTTCTATTCGATTTTTAGTGCCTTGGGAATCCTCCTCCCCCACCACCTTCTCTCATCCATTTCGGCCTTTTAAATTATACTAGTATTCTCTTAATCTCTTCCCTTTTCTTCGTTCTCTTCCCTTCTTAAACCATTGAACTTATAGTATTATATCCACTACTTTACTTTTTCAAACAAAGAAGAAAAGTTTTTATGTGGGTTTCAAATAGACAAGAAATCAGAGTAATTTCAACAAAATTTTAAAATTTTGCATAATTGATTTTTTACTTTTAATAGAAATTTGTGTGGATTTTAAACTTAAAAAAATTCATATAATTTCAACGGAACTCGAGAGATATCCATATAATCTCCTCTATTTATTATAAAGATTATGTTCCCCACAACCCCTTCTCGCCACCAAAATTAGGGTTACTCGTCCACTAAGGATATCCACTCATGCTAGTCTAGCCATGCTGAACCATTGACTAACATCCAGGAAAAAGTAATGCTGTTCTATGTTGCTGTCGATTACAGAGAGTTTGACTATCGAATAATAATCCACTTTTGTTCTTGAGATGTTGAATTGGACACCTCAAGTCAATCGCGTTTGTCAACCCAAGTGGGGAAAAGCTAATGGAATTGCATACAGCATATACACTCTTTAGCAGCCATTATTATTGTCTTGTGGTCGTTTGGGTCCAATTATTTCAATGAACAACATTACAAACACTAATACAGTATTTGCTGCAGCATCAGGTCAGTCAAACTGTCCATAATGCTGATACTTTACATCATCCTCCTATCAATCTATCTATTTTCATTAGAACCTTGCTTTCTCCAAGAAATGCAATTTTTTTGTTTTATTTTTTTTCTTTTTGTACAAAAGAGTTTCACCAGAACCCATAACCCGTAAGAAAGACAATGTTTATTGTGATTTGGGCTCTGTACCTCACTACTTACACTCGTGATCAAGGAACGGTCTCCATCTCCCTTCAAAGTACATTTTGAAAGAAATGATGAGGCAGGAGATCCTGTTGCCTTAGGAGAGATGTATGGTTTGGAATGGACAGAGGTCAAAATTTGAGGTTGTCCTTCAGGTATAGCACCACCTCTTGCTGAACCACAGTTAAAAACTTTCCTCAGCTAACCCCATAGATAGAATCCAACATTTTAATGAAAAAATGACAATGCATTGCAATTTGGTTGCATTGAGGGAACATATTTCGTTTCTTATGCACAATACAAACATAAAATATTATCTTTATAAAAGTTTAGTCAACTTTTTAAAGACATTACGTTCACTGGTCCTGGACGGGAGGAAGTGTCGTCGTTGTGTTGTTGTTGTTATATAAGCAAAAGTAGAAATATCCTTAAATTACCAGACAAGAGAAATGACATGACATGACATGACATGATAGAATACTTACTATCAAAGCGAGCAGAAGACATCCAGCGGCTCCAGGAAACAGAGCATACCAGAAATTCAAGTAATGCAGATTAACTCCATCAATGAACAACAGTGGAAGGCTGGCAGCTACACAAATATTTTGAGACTGAAAATAAGGTTGGATGCGAAATAGGAGAATGTGGAGGTTGAGGAAGAAAGAAGAACAAAACGTACCAGGGGGGTGAATGGCTCGAGTGTAGATCATGTATGCTATGCAACCTGCAAGGCCTACACTCCTGGCTAGCCATCCTGGCCCAAACATTGTGAACGCCACTACACCTATGGCTGCACAACCTATCTGGGCCATGAACATGTTGTACTTCTGCATCACCATTAACCCTATACTATATTAATATATCAGAGACCATGGAGAAGAACAAAGACCGAATAAAACCCATCAAATTGCGTTTTAATTCCGGCTAAAAAGACCGGTTTTGACTTTTGAAAAGCGAACACCTTAGAGGTTTAGTTCCAGAGGAGTGCGATTGCCTTTGCTGGGCCTTTTCCCTTTTGGGGTCAACAAGTAAGTCCAAGTCCACATACGATGTTGTTCAGAAATGGTCTTCTTGGGCAACTACTGTTCTTATGGGTTACGTTTGTCCAGAAGAAAATAACTAGGTGGAACCAAAATAGTGATAAATAGACATATTTTCTTGCACGCTAGAGATGAGTAGGTATTATTAGTGGCAAATAAATAGTACAATTTTATATGATATATTAATTAACGGGATGAGCCTCTGACTATGAGGCTAGAATGTTACAGTAATTGTTGGAATATGTATTTATAAATTAACATTAATTAATAAGCGTAAACAAATTGATTTTTATGATCCTGTGTGGACCGTAATAATCAGACCACACAAGTGAGTCCATTGGACAGAGACTCAACCTACAATCCAGTAACTGTCAGTTATTTTCTATCAAACACACGATACATTTTCTTCTACTCCATTATCTCTGTATTCTCTAAAAACTATGAGGTTCAGTGGGTTGTGCGTTTATCTACACTTGAGGTGATCAAGGTATTTCTAGTAAGCGGTTATGAATTCTTCAGGTACGCACATTTTACTTTATTTTATCTTATTAGATCATATAAAAATTGACATATTAGAATTAATTTGATTAAAATGATTTTATTAGGATAGAAAATTGATAACAATTTTAGTTTTTATTCTATATCTGCACGTGCTGCAAAATAGCACTAGCACGTTTCCCTAGATTTATCATTTGACCAGAAAAAGAAAAAGAAAGGACTTAACAAGTTCCAGTTAAGTGGGTCAATTAAGCGTGTGACTCTAATCTGTGTGTTAAGTGTATAAATGTATACTCCCACGCCTTGAGCGCAGTATTTTTGGAGTGGAAGCGCCTTCCAATAGAATTTTTTGTCCCCTCCAAAGTGAGATTCCAGATTCCCCAGCTATGGGATAAGACTAATGTTATTGTGTGACAGAGTATTCGAGTATGATGTTATGAGATGCTACCATACAGTAGAAATGCCGATTCTCATCTCTAAGATTTGTTTTCTTTATCCATCTTAACTCTAAAAAGTGAAAAGTCAAGCAAGAATACGAGAAAGAGAGTACCCTAGCAGCGGGGGTGGAGGGTGTGGCGAAGAGAACAGCGGAAACAGCACCCAATGGAGCAACCGTCATAGAAAGGCCTTTGGGCGCCAAAATCTGATCCATCTTTCCCAATAAAGCCATTGCTGCAAATGCCCCTGTTCATCCATCAAAAGTTAGATCACAGAACGAATTACGAATCAAAGCAAAAAGAAATGGGAACAAGACCTGCAGAGGGCCAAACAATGTCGCTGAGGGAAGGGGCTGAAGAGCCTTTGGCTGGCTTCCAATCGTCCCACACGGAGGGAGAAGCCACGTCGCTTGAGGCCACAATCCTCAATCCTCTTCGTCTTCGTGTCAATTTGACGGAGTGTTCCAGAATGACCTCCTTGTGTTTGACGAAATGCAGAGCCGCACAAGACGGGATTCGGAATGCCATCATCCTATAGCCGATCCCGCTGCTTCCCCAGTCTCTCACTCCCACATTCATCTCTCTCTCTCTCTCTCTCTCTCTCTCTCTCTCTCTCTCTCTCTCTCTCGTGTATGTTGTGGAAGACTGGAATTGCGCGAGGGGACCAATGAGAGAAGGAAGGGACAGTCCCCAGAAGAAAGGTGTGAGCCTTTGGGAATGCCAAAAGGTCGCCGCCAGCCCCCAAAAACTATACTGCCTGTGGTTTTCTGACATTCCTCAATAATATTTTATCCGTCTCATTAAAATTTTATCTCTAGTATTAGAAAAACATTTTATCCGCTTCTCAATTTTATGACTGTTGTTTGATTATTTTAAAAAATAATTATTTTTTAAAGTAAATATTTTGTGTCTGTTGATGGACTTTGGGTTCAACGTTGACTTTGCCCCCCACAGTGGTTATCTTTTCAGTGCTCAATGAGATCATGTTTGTCTCACATGGTATTGAGTAATTTATTTAAAAAAAATTTGATGAGAGACTCTTAACTCAGCATAATAAAAACAACAACTTCAAAATTTTTAAAATTTTACTACAAGATCCGACACCAAATTTCTTTTACATTTGTGACAAAAATAATTAAATTATTTTCATTTAAATGAACAATATAAATAATTTATTTATTTTTATATTGTATGTTATTCATTTATTTATGAAATGCTGATATTTTTTTATTTTACTTATTTATAGTCCTACATTCACTTGATTTCATCCTAAGGGTCATGAACAAATGAAGTAAGAAAATAAATAGTATTTTATAATTAATAAATAACATGCAATATGAGAACGAACAAGTCGTTTTATCATAAAACAAATGCTTAAAATGAAATCAATGAAACTAGGGCTATAAACAAATAATATTAGATAATTAACAACATTTCATAAGTAAATGAATAATATATAATATGAGAACAAACAAGTTATTTATATTATTCATTTAAATAAGGACAATTTTATTATTTCCGTCATAAATTTAAAAAAAAATTGTACAGATCTGTCGATAAAACTTCAAAAATTTTAGGATCTTTTTTTTAATTATGTTTGGTTAAGGGTCCACCTAAAATTTTCCCATTTATTTATTAGCTGTGCAAAGAGTTCAACAAAAAGATCCCTATTATGTTGAATTTTTTTTTAGTGTGATTTTTTATGATTAAATTACTGAAGAATGATATCCTTCCAAGGGGAATGATATATGGACCATTCATCGAATGATAGCGGAAAGCTTCCGCTTTTATGATGAGGTCAAGTATCATTAAGTAACAGAATTTAGTTTGGATTTCAGGTTAGATTCAGATGGAAGAAAATCATCCTTTGATTTTCACCTTTTAAAAAATAAAAAAGAATACAATTTGAAAAGATTTTTAGGGCTTGTTTGTTGAAATTGTTTTTATATTTTATTTTTTAAAAACAAAAAAATGATCTCAGAACGGTTTTTATTTTTTAAGTATTGTAAATTACTTTAATTATGACCAACCATACAACTTCTATCAACTAATTTTTTTAATTCCAGAGCAAATAGATTTTCTTTTTATTTTGTTTTTAAAAAAACAATTTTAAAAAATTGATTTACAAAATAATTTTTAAAAAAACTGGAAGTAAAACCAAACAAGATGTGGAAGCTGGTTCTTAGACTAATTTTGTGATGGCCAGAACCCAGAAGACAAGCTTATGATAGAAGGAAGGACAAGTTAAAACGTGGACCGCATCAATCCATTCCACACGTAGTAGAAAGGAATGGCTAGAAATAAGCTAAAGCTGGCATCACTAAAGGAAACAGCAAACGAAAATCCAAAGAGGGCATGTTTATAGCATGTGCTTTTCAGTTTCATTATTAAATCAAATCATTACTTGAATATATATATATATATATATATATATATAAGCATTTGGCTGACATGGAATGCGGGTCATTCCTGAGAACAATGATATGCAAAATTATAAATATATATATATATATATATATAAGCATTTGGCTGACATGGAATGCGGGTCATTCCTGAGAACAATGATATGCAAAATTATAATACACTGATTTTTTTCCCCATTTATCTTTTCCTTCACTGTCTTTCTACCACACATATTAACTATTAGATTAAATTTTGAATCATTTAGATTCAGTATTTTTAAAGTAATTATTGATATGCAAAATTATGAAAAATGAATGAGTCTTAATGAATAATTGTTAGATTAAATTTGACAGTTTTTCCCAACTTATCTGACCCTTCTCATGAGAAAAGGGAATTCAGTTTCATGAATCACTAACAAACAATATACAACATCAAACCAACTCACACATCCACCTACCTAACCTATCTTCCACCCAATTTTCGAGCCTACACTATTGGGAATATAATCCACAACCCCTTGTATTAAGGGGAAAGGCTCTTGTCATTAAACTTAAACTAAATGGTTTTTGGAAGCTAAAAATGGACTATTGAGTGATCTCGTGGATACTTGAAGAGACATTAATACTAAAGAAAACTCTATTTTTTTTAAGTGTAAATCAGAGTTAGCAAACAATGAAGTATTAGAATATATAAAAAAGTCTCACCTTAATTAATTAAAGAAACAATTAAAGCTATATAATTTTAAAGTAAGTTAGATTGATTTAAACTATCTTGGTAAGATGCCTATTTTTTATAAATTTAATATGATATAAGAATCATTTTATTTGGAAGGTGAAGAAAGAAAAGACAGAAAAGAGAATAACAAAGTGAGGAAGAGAGAGAGGAAAAAACAAAAAATGAAAATTGTGGACCTCAACATCCACTCGAATGTCTTTTTTTTTTTATAAAAGAAAGCCCACCCTTCTACTATTCGAGCCCTTTTATAATATGTTTTGTCTCATTGAATTGACAAGGGAAATAAAATCAAAAATAAAATCTTAATTTAAACATATTTGATTTATAGGAGTTATAATTTTTAAGAATTTTAATTCTATAAATAATGTTAGAAAATTTAATTTCATTATATTGATCATAGAATTACTTCAATCCTTTTAAATTTATTTTGTGAATCTTATTATTCTCATATTTTTTGTCTACTTATGATAAAGGAAGTTTTTTTAATTTTGAGAAAAACAAGCAATGTAATCTTTTCTTATTTTAAGTATATATATTAATTAAAATTATATTAAAATTTTATTTTCATATTAAACATATTTTTAAAATTTAATTTTATTTTTATTAAAAACTTCTTTATCATATCAAACGGCTTAAAGATCTCCATAATTTGTACATTCAAAATGGGTGATAATTTATGGTATCGGCAAAGCCCAATCTCAAGAACAGAAATATTAGAATTAGAATATATTAAAAAATCTTATCAAATTGAAGTTATATAATATCTATCAATTTGGACTTGGCAACTTCGACAAACTATGACTGATTCTCCGAGAAGTTTGAGATGGAGAAGGTGACCCATGATCCTGCTCCACCAATGGTAGAAGACCGTGAGCAGAATTCTACGCCTGCAACGCCTAGAAGAGCAGGAGGATGGCGATCCGTGAAATATATACTCGGTAACTTCCCCTCTCTCTTTTCACTGTTTCAACATTGTTTCTTTCCAGGTCTTTGTGCATGCAAGGTGGTTGATGTTTTGCTCCTGAATGGAAGCGAACGAGTCGTTCGAGAAACTGGCGTCAATGAGCTTGATGTCCAATATAACGTTGTACCTGCGGACGAAATACAACATGAATAACATTGCTGTTGTCAATGTGGTCCAAATTTGGAGTGGGTCCTCCAACATGGCATCCATAGCTGGCGCTTTCATCACTGATACTTATCTGGGCAGGTTCCGGGCCCTCCTTTATGGCTCTATTGCATCTCTTCTGGTAAATAAATCTTTCAATGCAATTCTTTAATTGCAACTCAATTTAAATAAGCATCATGTTCGACTGTTGCCAGACTTGTGTTCCCAGACCCTCCTACACACCACAATTTTCGGACTTTTCTAAATTTGGGAGTTCGGGATCCTTAGGTTCGTTTTTATTATTATTTTAATTTTTCAATCACTGATTTATCTTTTATATTTTCAACTTATTAGACGGAACCATGAATAGATACAGGGTTTCCCAAGTATGAGGAGACAAAATTTCGTCATGCTTTTTCTTTAACCTAAGTTTAAATATTTTCTTCATTGCTAAAAAAAGGAAAAAAAATGTTTTCTTGTTGGGAGGGAGGGGGTAGCACGCCCTTGGCCCCCTTGCATCCTTCTGGGAGCCTCATGCATCATAGAAAGTTTACAGTTTTAGAAATGAGCCATGCTATTATAACTTGTGGATAACATTTTTTTCTACACTTGATATCGATATTTTTATTCAGTTTCCTTTTCTTTCTACTGTCCAACTCATAGGATGAAGCGGAATGGGATCAGGGAGAAAAATTCAAGCCAATTTTTGGATCATAGGATGTGGTTTCGCATAGTATTAAAATCTGGGTCAACCCAACAGTTGTACAACAGTACAACTAAATTGTTGAACTAATACTTTAATCGGTTCAAGGTTCAATGAAATGCATTGTTCATGTTCGATTTGATCACAAATTTGACTAGAGTTTTAAATACTAACCTTGAACCAATGTCTTTAGCACTCAATAACTTGTTCGGTTTTCAATACATTAGAGTTCCCATTTCCCAAAACCCTTCTTTTTGAAAAGGTAATAACGAGTCCAAACTAAACTACTGGGAATGGACTGTCAGTTCTTTTTATTATACTTTTAAATGCTACTTCGTTGATATCACTTAATTCTAATCTCTTCAAAATTCCCAAAGAAGTCCGTAACAAGAATACAAGTCATTGTTTCAGTTAGTCTTTTATTAGTTCGTGCCAGTGTGTATATCACCTCCTTGGATTGCATTTGACAGGGTATGCTGACCATTACCTTAACAGCAGGAATACATCAGTTTAGACCCCCTGCCTGCAGCAACCCACTACACTGCCAGAAATCACAAGGGTGGCAGCTTGGCATCCTCTTTGGAGGTCTTGGACTGTTATCTATAGGAGCTGGCGGGATTAGGCCCTGCAATATTGCTTTTGGGGCTGATCAATTTGACACCAAAACACAAAAGGGTAGGGCGCAACTTGAGAGTTTCTTCAATTGGTGGTACTTCTCTTTCACTGTAGCATTACTTATAGCACTCACTTGCGTTGTCTATGTCCAAACCAATATTAGCTGGACCATAGGATTCGCCATTCCAACTGTTTGTCTCGCTCTCTCTATGTTCATTTTCTTGCTTGGCTGCCACACTTATGTTTACAAGAAACCTCAAGGTAGCATCTTCGTGGACATGGTCAAGGTGATTGTGGCTGCCTGTAGAAAATGTGAGCTTCAGCCTTCTGGGAGGTCCTTTTATGATCCTACACGTACGCTGGATGAATCACCGTTGGAGAATAAAGGACTTGCTCATAAAGATCGTTTTAAGTGCCTTGATAAGGCTGCTATAATTGCCAACCCCAGTACTGAGCTGGACGACCAAGGCATGTCCAGGAATGGCTGGAGACTTTGTAGTTTGCAACAAGTTCAAAACTTCAAGTGCTTGCTGGGAATTCTACCATTCTTAGTGTCTGGGACCTGCTGTTTTATGGTAACGAGCCAGCAGCACACTTTTGGTATCCTTCAAGTTACGCAAATGGATAGATCCATTGGACCCCACTTCAAGATTCCACCTGGGTGGATGAACCTGATATCAATGTTATCACTTTCCATTTGGATTCAGGTTTTTGAGTGTATCTACATTCCTCTGTCAAAAAAATTTTATAAAAAGGCTGTAAGATTGAGCATGGGGCTAAGAATCAAGATTGGCATTTTGTTGTCAATCCTATGCATGTTGGTTGCAGCAAATGTTGAGAAGAAGCGACGGCACTCAGCTTTAAGACAAAATTCATATATTTCGCCGTCAAGCTTTACGCTGCTACTGCCTCAGTATGCCCTATCAGGTTTAACTGAAGCTTTTGCTGCTGTTGCTATAATGGAACTTTTCACCATGCAACTGCCAGAGAGCATGAGAACCGTTTCGGGGGCTGTCTTCTACCTGAGCATGTCCATTTCAGATTACTTAGGCTCTCTTGTAGTCAACATTGTCCACAAAGTAACATCAGAGAATGGAAGAACACCATGGCTGGGTCATCATGACTTAAACCATGTTAGACTTGAAAACTACTACTTCATAATTGCTGCCCTGGGAGCACTGAATCTTGTGTACTTCAGTTTCTTTGCAGTCTGTTTTTCGACAAGTCCACTGGGCACCGAGCTGAAAGAAGTGCAACTGTAGAATTCAAATGCTTACAGGAAGGAAGAGTCGTCTGGACCAGAAGATGAGGAGAAGGAATTGAGCATTAAAAGGGTCTAAATATTAGCAGTTAGAATTTAGAAATGTTAACTTGTCATTTCTTGAACTTGTGTTGCTACTAGGGGTGTTCAGTCCGGACCCGTCCCGATTGGCCCGGTATCGTCCCGATCATATCGGGACGGGTCTTGTCCCGGCCCGAAACTAATCGGGACGGGACTTTACGGGACGGGACAGGAAAGAGGTTCGGGACGGGACGGGACACGGGATTACCATCGGGACGTCCCGTCCCGTCCCGAATATTATATATATTATTTTTTATTTTAAATATATTAATTATATTAATATAATTTATACTTATATTAATTATATCAATTATAATTTTAATACTTACAATTCTTATTTAAAACTAAAGTTTTTTTATATTGATAATTTTAATGGCATGGAGTAAACATGGCGATATCTTTCTTTATAATATATTAATTATATTAATATAATTTATTTTTATATATATCTATTTAATAACTTTTATTTACAACGTATTTTTTGCTTATTTTTAGAAGAGTAATTAGCTTAGTACATCTTCACTAAAGTAGAATAACAATGATTTGATGTTATGTTTGACTTGTCTGTTGTTACTAATCTTACAGTGTAAAGATCATTTGTGTTTATTATTATAATGTGTAGTTATGATTAATATAATTCAATAATTGATTTTAAATTATTGTTATTTATGTACTTGTGTTGTTTTGATTTTAAACTTAATAAATTATATGATTTAAAATTTTAATGAATGTTATTATCCAGATCTTTTTTCAATATTATTTCATTTATCGGGACGGCGGGACGTCCCGATCTTGTCCCAGTCCCGTCCCGACTCTTAACGGGACGGGACGACTTTCGGGACGGGACGGGACACGGGACTAAAATTCAGTCCCGATCTTTTTCTCGGGACGGGACATGGGACGGGGGCGTCCCGGTCCCGTCCCGTCTCGTGAACACCCCTAGTTGCTACTATCAGGTTCTTTGTGGCCATTGAATCTCTTCCTTTTTTAGCTTACACTGATTTTTTAGGGCTTGCTTAGTCCAAAGTTCATTTTTTCTTTCATATCTTGGATGATAAATGTATTGATTCCATTTCTTGCATTTTTTTTCTTCTCTTCAAGCCATTTTTCTGCAATTTTTTTCTTAAAAAAGCTATCTTATGGTGTATCCTACTATAATTATTTGGGTAAATTATCTTATGGTGTATCCTACTATAATTATTTGGCTAAATTTCAATGTCAACATTTTATGAAACTGATTTATTTTGAAAATCTAGACTCCCCCACCCTCTCCTAAAATCAAAAGTTGCGCTACCCTATTCTCCCGTTCATGAAAAGATGAATTAAAAGTATGACTGTTCTGATGAAAATATCTTTGTATCCATTATTTTTATAACATGACAAACATATTAACTATGTGTATTAGTAATCTATTCTCTAAATCCATTATTTTTAACGTTATAAGTGAAATATAAAATTGATCTTATTCTTGAAGGTATAGTTGTTATATTTTAACTTTGCGAGAATTAGTTTGAATTTTTACAATAAGAAAAGATTGTGTAATTTAAGTATCTCATATTAGAGGAGAAAGTGATTTACCCTTATTATTTTTGTTGGTATTTTAGAAGATTCTATGCACATGATCATGATCACTTATGTCTATAACTATTGTTATTAACTTTGTCAAGCCATGTGTCACTTAATGTCCACAACTAAGGGCGATTGACTCAATTAGTCAAAAGAGTTGAACAAGTTTATCCTAAAGTCTCAAATTTGAGTCTTGAAATATAGCCACATCAAATAAATATATCAAAGACATCCCCGAGGTGTTAATAAGATTACTGTTATGGTCCTATACAATCAGGATTTGAATTGGTTTAGATAAAAGGTGGTAATTTTGTTAGGTTTTTCAGGATACTAAAAAAGAAATAAAAGAAATAAAATGCAATAAAAATAAAATAAAACTATTCTTGTACATGTACGTTAAATCCATGTCAAATAAGTAGTTCCCTCTTCTTTTATGTAATAGAAGATGAGTGTGGAATAAAATTGAAGATTTCAAAACTTTCCAAATTCTCATGTAAAAGATACAATTAAGATTTTGAAAAATGTCACACTTGCATTGCAATTCACCTGACTTTTTACTGATCAAAACTCTTTGCGGGTAGCCTTTTCATGGCATCGATCTCTCAACGAAAGTATCAATATTGTTATGAGTAGAAGTCCAAAGAAAACCTTACATCAAAAAACCTGCTTGATTGATGGAAAAGCTCTTTGAAATCCCATTTTACTTGCGAGGTTGACCAGTGTGAGAATCATGACATACATCAATGAGCCAATGAATCAAAATTGAAAAGCCTCGTGAAACTTTTCATCCTAAACTCCTTGTAAGGCTGAGAGTTGTGGAGGTATGATTGTTCCACGTAGAAACAAAGAAAAAGGAACTCTGATCATATCAGGTACCTAGCCTACCGTATCAAATATTCTACAGGCCATATACTTGCTCACATATACAGAACAAAAGAAGATACGTCGATTTGGGAGAAAGAAGAGAATGGAATCTGAAATTGCTCTGTCCATTTGTTTGTTTTCGTGATCTCGCTTTCTATGTATTGTTTGTTGAATAGTTCTTTGATATTACCAAATAATAGATTTGCCTATACCTTCCAATATGAGTTTCCCCATCCTCTCATGAGAAACTTCTGCATATTCAGTAATAATCATTAGAGCTACAGTTTACAAATCAAATGGATGACGGGATTTGGCTTCCTTAAAACAGAATTGGTACGTTTTTTGCCATTGTTCATCAAAATGGCAAGCCAAAAAATAAAAAAAAAAAAGAAAATTCCGTGATGAAAATCCACTCTTTCACGATCAGCTTAAATTGGACTTGCCCTATGTTCACATGCCATTAATCATCTTTGATTGTCATCTTATATCAATTCTATCATGCTAATATAACTTTTAATCCCTAAACTTTTTCTGAATTTTCAATTTATTCCTTAAACTTTGATTCATTAAGACTCATTTCTTACAATTTATTGAGTTAAAAAAGTACAGGGATAGGGTTGTTTTGTGTCAAGAATTTATAAGATCAAGTTGTTCTAATTTAAAGTTCAGGAATTAAGTCGATAATTAAGAAAAAGATAAAAGACTAAAAAATACTCCTTCTGATTCCTATTACAGGGCACCTTCTAGGAGAATTCTTTAGTTTATAAGGTGTATAGAGAGTTATTTAATATCATTTTTCAATTTTATCCCTGTTGTAACTTTAATTTCATGGCTCATCATATATTGTGTTTCTCCCTTTTCTTATTTTTAATAGGAGTAAAGTTGAAATTTTTTTCATTTCAAAACATATTTAATAAGTTAACTGGCATTCATTGATTCTAGTAAAGTAGTACTGGATGGTGTATATTTTTCCAATCCTTGTCGCACATGGCAATCATTGCTCTGGAATTAATGGAAGAAGTTGGGAAGTTGGATCTTGCTTCCATGAAGATATGGAGAGACGAGTAGATAGCCTTCTTGAGTTTGACTGTTAGCTTTTGCTTCCACCATTCTTATAGTTTTAGGGTTGGAGCTGATATACGCATAGTGATTGTCACGAAAACAACACCACATGGACCTATTCAGCTTAACGAATCAAATGTCACCACTTAGCCTTTCTGTCAGTGAAGTAACATATCTCACGGATGTTGCTTTGACATGACATTTCAAGAAATTTGATGGGTACCTAAGTAGAATGAGAAATTCTACCTCAAAAGTTAGCTGCTAAAATGAAAGAACCAACCCACTTATTTATCCCATTGAGTATCCCATACTACTTAATATGGGACTTAGTATCCCATACTACCAAATCTCTATTAAAATCATTTGATGAATGACGCAATTGACCTTTCTAAGTGTTTCAATATACTCTAATGACCATGGATTGTTCTTGATAGATTTTGATACGCTTAGAGTTGAGGAAAACGGAAGGGAATATAAAATTTTAATGTTGATGTTTTATTTCATCTGTGTTTAGATTGAGGAGAATTAATGAGAAGGGAAAATTATATATGCATTGTTATTATCACTCAACAGGCACTTCTTTAATTATTTTCTATTTAGTTTTCTTTTCTTTTTTCTTTCATCGAATTCGAAATTGCCCTGAAAAGATAGACTAATCAAACTAATAATGAGGCAACATACAAGTGTGCTTGAGGTGAATTCCATTATACATGTTTGGATCTAATTACTTTTTTTATATCAGTTAAAGATAATTGTACAGAGAACATCTCAGCCATTCACACAAAACAAAACAAGACAAAAAAAAGGGGGGGGTGAAGAAAAGAAAAGAGAAGAAAGCGTGTTTATTTAGCACAGGAGTTTAGGTTGGGAATGACAATTTAGTGGTCCAATAGTACATTGGACGAAAATGGCCTCTCCTCCTCCAAAACTATTAGGAAAATACAAAATGAGATAAGGAAGAAGAAGAGGAAGTTGAAACCTTGCTAGAATCCCCACTCAGCACTCACTCTTCTCTTTCCTTATCTCTATTGAAGTAGTAACTTGTATAATCATGAGCCTCACTGGGTAGAAAGAAACAAGGATAGGAATTATGGAGAAGAATGAGAAGGAAAAAGTGATGGGAAACAATGAGAAAACTTTGACAGATGATGATGATCCTAAGTTCAACTATAGAGGATGGAGAGCCATGCCCTATATCATAGGTAAGCAAAAGAAACAAACGTTGTATTCCCTACGAGTACAAGCACCTCCTTCTGTGTGTGTGTCTCTCTCTCTTTACTGTGCATTTTCTTTTTTCTGCATGAACTTTGTGTGACTCATCTGCATGACTTGCAGGGAATGAAACTTTTGAGAAGCTTGGAGCTATTGGCACCTTAGCCAACCTCTTGGTTTACCTCACAGCTGTGTTCAACCTGAAAAGCATTACAGCCACAAATATGATCAACATCTTCAATGGCTGCACCAATTTGGCTACCTTGCTGGGAGCTTTTGTCTCTGATACTTACTTTGGTCGATTCAAGACATTAGGGTTCTGTACTTTTGCTTCCTTTTTGGTATTTACACTACTGCCTCGGACATTTCTCATTATGATCTGTTCAATTTTACCAGAATTTGGATATCATGTAAAGCTTTTGTCATGCAACATTAAGCACACGCAACAAAAGATTTGAGTTCAACTGCCAACACATATGATGTTGACTAGAAAGTAAATCTACCAAACGCACCCTAAAATAGCTTCAAAACAAATTGTGACAGTAGATCTGCTATGAATCATGTCTTTTTGGAATTGAGCACTTGAACCATCTAACTTATGAATCTAATATGCATTGAAACAGGGATTGCTCATGATACAGCTAACAGCAGCCATTAAGAATCTGCATCCACCTCACTGTAGGAAGGAGAGCAGCACATGTGAAGGGCCAACGACAGGGCAAATGGCATTTTTGTTGGTCGGATTTGGATCACTTCTAGTAGGAGCCGCTGGAATCCGGCCATGCAACCTAGCATTCGGAGCAGATCAGTTCAATCCCAACACAGAATCTGGAAAGAAAGGGATCAACAGCTTCTTCAATTGGTATTTTGTCACAATCTATTTTGCAGTCTTGGTCTCCTTAACATTAATTGTCTACATACAATCAAACTTGAGTTGGGCAGTGGGTTTAGCAATTCCTGCAGCTTTGATGCTCCTATCTTTCTTAGTCTTCTACATGGGGTCCAAAATATATGTCAAAGTTGAACCAACAGGAAGTCCAGTAACAAGCATAGTGCAAGTGATAGTGGTAGCTGCAAAGAAAAGGCACCTGAAGCCTCCAGAAAATCCATCGGTTTCCCTCTTTACCTATGTGCCTCCAAAGTCTATGAACTCCAAGCTTGCTTATACATACCAATTCAGGTTCCCATAATTGACTAAGTATGTAGCATTTGATGATTTCTACTTTAATTGTGATTGACTCTAAACAGAGCATTGCCCCACAGGTTGCTTGACAAAGGAGCAATTGTAACCCCAGCGGATCACATAAGCCATGATGGGTCTCCAACTGATCCATGGAATCTTTGCAGTGTGCAGCAAGTGGAAGAGGTGAAGTGCTTGTTAAGAGTGATACCCATATGGTTCTCAGCCGTTATTTTCTATGTAGCTATTGTCCAACAAAATACTTTGCTAGTGTTCCAAGCTTTTCAATCTGACAGAAGGGTTGGGCATAGCAATTTCAAGATCCCAGCAGCAACCTACACTATCTTCTCCATGCTGACAATGTCCATATGGTTACCTTTATATGACAGAAAAATGGTCCCTTTACTCAGAAGGCTGACCAGAAGAGATACTGGCATCACACTGCTTCAGAGGATGGGAATTGGGATGTTTCTGGCTATACTATGCATGCTGGTATCTGCCATAGTGGAAGAACAAAGAAGGACTCTAGCTCTGACAAAGTCTGTTGGAGTAGAACCAAGAAAAGGTGCTATTTCATCAATGTCAGGTCTTTGGTTTATCCCACAGCTGGTATTATCTGGACTGGCTGAATCATTTACATCGGTAGGACAAGTTGAGTTTTACTACAAGCAATTCCCTGAGAACATGAGAAGCATTGCAGGGTCTATTTACTTCTGTGGAATGGCAGGGTCAAGCTATTTGAGCACTCTTCTCATTTCAATAGTTCATAGGATGACATCCAAATCTTCAAGTGGGAATTGGATACCGGAAGATCTTAACAGGGGGAGATTGGATCACTTCTATTACATTGTTGCTGCTTTACAAGTTCTAAACTTTGGCTACTTTTTGCTATGTGCCACGTGGTACAAGTATAAAGAAACTGGCAGCACTAGTCTTGAGCTCCATGAAGTATCAAAACAAACAGAAACATCTGCAAACGGCGTTTGAAGGAAAAAGACAGATTTCTGAGGACAAATGGATTTTGGTGGTCCCTACAATACACCGATTTCAACGATGTTATCTCTAGATGTTAGGCCAGTGAGGAGAGTGGAATAAATAACTTTGAACTTTGTTAAAAATGATAGAAGAGGCTAAATAGAACACTTTTAGAAGATGTTAATCAAAATCTTTTAATTAACAATATTTCTAAAAAATTAGTATATGATAAATTATAATGACATTGTACAATTCATATAGCCAAACCTACCTAATGGGGATAAGATTTATTGTTGTTGTTGTAGTAGTAGTAGTAATAGTATCTCTGAATATTACACCTACATTATTTTCAAAGTTTTGGACTCGCTCTTGATTAGTCCCTCCACCAGTCAAAACCAAGACAATTTTACATGTTTTGACTTTTGAGGTCTAAAAAGTAGTGATTAAAAACCTTTAGCCACTACATCATGTTTACGTATATATTAGAGCTGAATAGTTGAAACATATCTCAACAAAACAGCACTGTTTAATTCTTTTAAAAAAAAATGCAATTGTTAGTCTCTATATTTTTAGTATATTTGGGTATTAATTCCTATAGTTTTTTCATTACTTCTAAGTTCTAATCCTTAAGTTTTACTATCTGTATGTAACGTTAGTCTTTATTGTTATTGACAGAGTTAAATCTGCTGATATATACAAACTTTGTTAATTTTATTATTGAATTGGTAAAATTACAATGAGTTGAAAATTATATAAACAAAATGGTGTCTGAGCTTTATGCCTTTATGCTATCGTAGTCGCATTTTCTTCTTTCTAAAGCTTTACCTATTGCTTGTTTATTTATTTTTTTTAACTTCTACTCATTTTTATACAACTTATCATAAATTTAACAAGTCAACATAAGAAATAATAGAATTTAAGTGCACATTAGCCACCATTAAGTCTTTATCATCACATTTAAAAATAAAGAGACAGATGAGAGGAGAAAAGGTACCAAGAACAGTTATATTTTCTCCTCTTTATTTTTAAGTTTATCACTTTCACTTATATACACGCAAGAGCTTCCTAGTGCACACTGTTTTCATATTTTACGCTTATTAAAATAAAAAAATTAAAATGTAAAAATAATTTAAATCCAAAGTTAAGTCATTTAATTTTATTCTAACCAACTCAAACGAAACATGGGCTTCTTATGTTCTACTTGACTATTAGCATGAGATTCGTCTGCGCACGCCGTGCACTCTTAAGTAGCACCAAACAAAGAATTAATTGGAATTTTCTGTAGTTGGAATAAAAAAAATTAATAAATAACTTGTACTAATACAAAGATTAAGGGACCAATCCCACATAAAATATTAAATAATTGAATAAGAGTAGCATGATCATTAGTCATTACACAAATTAACAAAAAAAAATTATTGCACTCAAGAAGCAAGTGGTCCATAACGGTAGAATCTGAGTCCACATATATCCAGATTCTTTGTAGCATTAATTAAACAACATTCTAAACCTTCGCAGACAAGTAGATAGGAAATTATATAAAAATCCCTCAATTCAGTTCCGTGATCATCGGGCATTTTTTTTTTTTTTCCCTAATATGGCTATGTAATTGAATTCAAATCTGAAACCTCATGTTTCAGCGGCCCGGATCCTTTTCACCACGATGAATGCCTGGTGGTGCGTCTTTTTCCATTTGATTGACAAATCAAAGAACCTGAAGCCAAATTTTGATGCATTAATTCCAATTTTTGTCTCTATTGTTGTACCAAGGAATGGAATGCCTCTTCGGTCTTCAGTCCTTTTGGACTGCTAATTTGTTATTGCCCAACGTTTAACTTCACGCAATATTGTTATGACCTTTCTTTTTGGTGGAAATTGTTATGACGTCTATGCTTATTTCTTATTTCTCATTTCTCATTTCTCATTTTAAAAAAGAATGAAAGTTGCAAATTTAGCCACATATTATTTTTGGAGAACCACTGAATGACTGAAAAATATTATGGTAAAAGAAAGATATGGGAGAACCTAAAAAATATGATGGAATAATGGACATTCACATAACATCATAATATTCATAATACTCCCCCTTAGATTTTCAGATATTATACCTCATTAAAACCCTAATAAGAAAAATTTAATGGGACACAAAACTTAGTAAAAAAAAAAAGAGTACACAATATTTTTATATTTATGAAAGTTTCTTTGTTAAAAATTTTATCAAGAAAATTCAGTGAAATAAAACCTTAACTAAAGAAAAAAGAGTACATGGCACGACTTTCATATTTTATGGAAAATCTTATTTTTCAAATATTGGCCTAATCATCTCATTGGAGGTATAAATAATTTTAATAAACCTCATGACAATAGACTTTCCTTCATATCAACATTCATTGAAGCTTGAGATATGGAATCATCTCGATCACTAAATTAAAAAATGTACACATAATATAATTTTTTCCTCACAAATTTCAGGTTGTGAGTTGATTGATATACACCTATACCACCACATTATAGATGTATCTCTTAATTTCATTATATCTTTGTATGGTTTATATGGTGCCTAAATAAGCTCATGTCAACTTGATATCTTTCATCTATCTGGGTTCCAAACCCAGTAATAGCTAGTGATAATCTTATAATTTTCTTTAAACAATATTTGAGAATTCTATATATCATATTAACTAGTTAGGAAAAATCTTTTGGTTCTTCAATAAATGTTATTATGAATTCTCAATAATACTTTTCATCAATACTAATTCGAGATAATTCAATCGGTCATGCCAAATAACATTAGCATACTTCTAGCATACTATACTAAGTTTATTTGGAACTCGAGAAAATAATATCACAAATAAATTTTTTCTTTGAGTATGAAAATTCTTTAAACACTTCTATCAATTTTATCATTTCCTATACAACAACAACAACAAAACCGCTTATTTTTAAATGAGTAATAGCTTTAATATTACTTAAACAGATTTTTTTTTTCATTGTATAGCTTTAATTCAATAATAAAATGATACAGAGATTTTCAAAAGTTCTTCTAGAATTAAATTATAAATAACCTTAAAACTCTTGCTATTTCTATCTAGCTTTTGCAATAATGATAGTCAAATTTAAATATCAAAACATAATTATTATATTATTCATTCTAGGTGAATTAAAATTTATCATATGTCATAAACATTATAAGAAAAGATCAATAAATCAACTATATGGACATATAATCAAAGAATATAAAAAAAAGAACACATATTTAATTGCTCACCTCCTTTTAGAGAATTCTTTTGAGAGAAGATCATTCTTGTCTAATCTCTTTTAAAATTAATCTCTAAACACTCTTAGATGACCCATATAATTTTCTTTAAAATAAAATTTTTCAATAAAATAATTAAAATTATCTATGTATAAATAATTTTATAAATTTATTATTATAAAGGCTTTTCATAATCATTCATATACATTTTCCTAACATCTCGTGGTCCTTTATAATAAAGGGCATTAGCACCCTTCAAGTTGAATAGATTATAGCCATTTTGTCTATATATGGCTCGGACATATGATAACAATTGTTTGTAAGCATGTTAATTTTTTTAAAAAAAAACTATTATTAATTTTTTTGCAATATAAATTATATTGACTATAATTTTTAGAATTATGGAAAAATAATCTTTAAATCTAGCAAGGCCTTATGAACCATTAGCCTTTAGAGCTACGATAGTTAAAAGCATCAAATTAATCATCAGGGTAGTCATGGAAATTCTGCAAAATTTATAGTAACCATAGGACAATAAAATTATCCTTTTAAAGAATAGTCATGATTAAAATTAAGATAGCATCTAGCCATATAATAACAAAATCAATTATATCTTCTGGCCATACAATCATTAAATCAAATATGGCTTTTAGCCATGTAATCATAAAATTATGGGAGAATTTTAACTAAGGATTAGGGATATAACTTAATTACTTGTGGGTCCCAAAAAAAATTAAAATTTCAATTTAGTCTAGGAGGACTGAAATGAAAATAATTTTAACAGTGAAGAGACTAAAATACCCCTCACTTGTTAATTTTTTTCTAAGATGTAGAATTATTAGTTGTTAATTTTTTTACTTCACTTATTAATTTACCAATATGAATTGTAAATTACATGAATTGACCTACTAATAATTATACAAAACTTGCACATCAGTTGTTTAATCAGAAGCAGCAATATTAATTGTTAAATGACTAACTTTATTTGTGAATTTACAAACATCAATTATAAATTATTGATAGGTCTTATATTTTTGTGCGGGCCCAAAAAAAGAAAAAAAATAAATAGCATTGCTTCATTATATATATATATATATATATATAAATAACAGCGTGATATATATACATGTATGGTGTTGGTAACTAAATAGGAAATTGAGATATGATTCCAACAAATAAAGTAAACTGGTTACGCTGGATTATAAAATAGCTTGAATATAATAATAAATTATTTTAAATGTAAGTAATATCAAGACCTATTTTATATTTTATATGTATAGCTTCAAGATTCACAAAAATTTAGCTAAATAAATTATTTTAATTGTAGATAACTTCAGGATGTACTTTATATTTTATATGAATAACTTTAGAATTTATTTTATATTTTATATGAATAATTTTATGATTTTATATTATGTGTTGATAAATTTAGAATCCAATTTTCTAAAAATTATGTGTAGATAGCTAACAAAATTATGTATAGAAAAAATGAATTAAAAATAAGGAATTGAATGTAGGATAAATAAATAAATGTAGATATTTTTAGGATCTACACTATACCATGTGGTTATATTTTCAAGATTCACCTTATCTTTCTATGTGAATAACTTCAAGAACTCTATATTATATATGGATAATTTCAAGATCTACTTTATGTTATGTGTTGTGCCTCACTTCTAGATTTAGCACAGAATATGTAATTATTATTAATTGAGGAAGGAAGAAAACAATTGAACCAAAAATTTTAATAAATAAATAAAATATAAAATAACAAGAGTGCATGGATAAAAGAGATTTGCTCAATATTTAACTGAATATAACTCCATCTTTATTAGAGATGTTCATTAGCATGAGCATTAATCTCTAATTCAATAATTATAAGGGCACTCACCTAATTATGTCAAGAGTGAAGCAATTGTGGTGTTATGAAATAAATAAATATTTTGAAGAAGAGAAGATAAAATATTAGAAGGAAAGAATATCCAAATAGTGAGAGAAGAGATAGTTCTCATTTTAGTGCGAAGACTACAATTAAGGTATATTCTATTTACAAGTAC